AACTATAAATGATAGTGTCCTTCCAAAAATTATGTTTTACTTATAGTGAAAACCACCCTTGAATGATGGGATAGTAGACTAAAAGCTTTAGGACTCCAAACTATAACATATAATAAGTACCCTGTATCAAGATTAATGCAAAACAAGTGACATTTGAGCTTTTTAGAGAGATTTAGCAAAAAAAACAACACTTCTGGGTTCATTTGGGTGGATTTGACCTATCTCTGGCCCCCTTTGGTCATTACTCAGATTTTGAAGCTCTCACACACCAGTTCTTATGCAACTGGGCTCCCAAAGCGACACAGATTGAGGACATGGTGGCTAAAAAAAAACATTTTACCATGACAAAGCAGCACCACCTGGCGACATAATTGTGGACTGCATGTGGTCAGAAACTGATCAGGAGATCAGTGTGGGAGGAAACACTGTGGGGGTTTTCTGGAGGATTCCCTTTCAAACCTACCAACATTTTCATATAATATTTCCTTTTTAATAATATGATTGTTTTATGATTGTGTTGGCTTCACTGACCAGAAAGGGGAAGCCAACACGATCACAATCAATCCCCACATGGGGAACAAAAAAATATATACAACCCTGTCTGCACAGCCTTCATAATAAAAGCCAGACCAAAAGAAATTAAAACAAAAGATGTAACCACCAAAACAGAGACAAAAAAAAGCAGAAGTGAAACAAAGGAATAACTGCGAATTTTGTCTGACATTTTTCTTGAAACTAAAACTAACTTGTTTTAGCTCTTGAAAATTTGAAAATGGATTTAAATTAAGAAAAGCAGAATTGGGCCAAGAGATCAACACACATCTAAAACTGAACTGCTGCTGAGATGTTATTCCCTCTCTCGCTCCCTCTTGTTTTCTGTCACCATTTAACAGTCCACCATTGATAAAACGCTAAATGAACTCATAAGAACACCATAAGATCATCTGGTTTAGTTGTCAAACAAGTTCAAGTGAAAACATACTTCTTAAAAGTTCATAACCATCACAGCATTGCAGTGCTTTGAGTGCTAGTTTAGTTTTTGGCTGTTTTGATGAACCCTGGGGCCCCATGCAGCAAATTACAGGAATGCGTCCTGACCTGGGAGGATTTGTATAGACTTGATTAATTGGCATAACAAAGATTGCTTACGGTACAGAGCAGGGATCAAACTAAGAAATGAGAACTGCTGCATCACACCCTTTTCACCTCTGTAACATCTGTTTCAGGCTTTGCATGCTGGTTAGCGATTGTTCTGTTTGCTCTTTTTCTTCATGGTATGGCATGGCTGTTAAATTCCACTTTGGTTGAAATATCTCTTAAACAAGTTCATTAAACTTGGATAATTTGAAATGAGATTTTTTTTTACTTGAGAAAAGTAGCAATCTCACAGAAAATACTGGTGAAAGGCATGCATTACAAATGTGAGTTAAGTAAAAGTGCAATAGTATTATAGCACCATAATAAACATAAAGTAGTCAATTTCCACAATGGTCAGTTATACATGATGTATTATGATAATTGATGCAATAATGTGCTCATCACTTTAATATTGAAGGTGGTAAATCTGGGTTTAATTTGAATGCATTTACATAAATGTGTTTACTTTAGAAAATGCTACGGTAGCATGTGGGAACATTAAAGTCTACATGATAATAATAACAGCAATAGGCCTACATGTTGGACTACAGGAAGATTAGCTGTGCTTAAGGGCACTGCAATGGGGATTCTTCCATTAAAATAAACCATACTTCTTTAGGTCTTTCTCTCTTTAACATCCTCCCTTTACCCTTACTTTATATGTTTTTATGTGTCTGTTTTCTTTACATCTTTCTTTGCCCTACTTTCTCACTTTGTGGCAAGTCTGTACTCGGCAATAGAAATCAGGGCATACTCAACATTCCTTGGGAGTGTCTGGGAGTCAAACTACTCTGACAGGCGGAAGAAGGAAAGAAACACACACTCAAACACACATTAAAAGAACACACATAAGTAAGGGTGTAAATGCTGATACTCTCTCCGTGTGTTTCCAGTTATTAAAAGAGACTTTAGGGGATACATGTTGCCTCACAGTTCACAGGGCAGAGGATGTGGGAAACGCCCGTAACAAGCACACAAGTACTTATATATGACATCACTTTGCCTGACTCACAGCTGGGATAGTCACCGCATCAAGAAAACCGAAACACACCCCGGCTAAGAAAGGTCCATATGAAACTGGCCGCCATATTGGCTCCTTATATACCTTCCATTCAGTAAAGTAAAGGGCTCTTTGAGCCTGAATGGCCGCGCAACGTACGCAGTAACATTTGCCCTTTCTGTCAGGGTAAGACACGCTCCTTTACCTCTATATGTTAGCAAGGATACCCAATCAGATTTGAGTGCTTGCTTAAATGACGGTACACTTGACCAATCAGAGGCGTGGATTTTGACAGAAGGGGCGGGAGACAGGCGTGTCTGTGGAGGCCTAGGGTGTCGCCGTGGTGGCTCCCATTCGAAGGCGACGGCGGTCGTCTATGGTATATTTCAGCAGTAATCTCTCCAGAAAAAAAGGGCGAAATAACTCCGAGCAGGCAGTGAATTTACGTTGAGATTTTTCTTTTCAAATTCTTCTCGGTTGAGGTTGTGGCAGAGCTCTGTAATGACGGGGTGTGCCGAGAATTTGAATTAGCTCGCCGTTAGTTTGAAGAAAGAGTGAGTCGGGGGTAGAGAGAGAGAGAGAGAGAGAGAGAGAGAGAGGAGCCAGCCATTTTGTCCCGACTGTGTGGGAGAAAAGAAAGAGTGGAAAAGAGGAATCACACGGAAGGATATCCTTGTTTTTTCTGTTTCTGTTCTCATGCTGTAAAGGGGGAGAAAAAACAGTCGGGCTTGGGATATATATATAACTTCTTGGACACGGTATTAGTGGTGGTGGTATTTAGCCGACTAGCTTGCCAAGCTAATCAACACATCCCAGATTGTTAACAAGAGAACAGTTTGGCTAAGGAGCTGGCTTTAGACTGCACACAAGCGTGCTAGGGGAATATATACATATTTTTTTTTGTATCTTATCTGGGGTAATCGCAAGCTGTGTTTCAATGGCGAAGAAGACTTACGACTTGCTGTTCAAGCTGCTTCTGATCGGGGACTCGGGCGTGGGGAAGACCTGTGTTCTGTTCCGCTTCTCTGACGACGCCTTCAACACCACCTTCATCTCCACCATAGGTAAGAAGATACTACATGATGTGTTGCTACAGGTGTTTACTTTTTATTGTCATACCATCACCTTCTGACAGCTGGTTGACTCGTCTGACTTTCTCCTGGACATATTTGGTTAGCCATGCTATCGGCATGTTAGCTCCTCTCCACACAGGCCTCTCCTCTACTAGTGCCGCTTTATTAGCTCCTAGCTATACCCCCAGCTAACTGTGCTACTTTAATAACAAAACATGGTTGTTATGTGTGTTTAGCTTGCCAAAAATGCCGAGTATAACCGGTTTATGTGCCAGAGGAATTGCTGTCATGGCACTTGACCCAGTGGCTAGTTAGCTAACTAGGCTAGCATTGAGTAGCAGTACAGGCAGGGCCGACTACTGTTACAAAAACACAAAAATACTATCTCAATATTACTGACAGACGTTTAGATCTTAATATAATCACACGTAACTCTATGGATTTCCCCCCTGTCATGAATCATACCAAGAAAAGTCAACAAATATTTAGATCTTTGCTCAGAATGATATATGACACACAAGTAAATTCCCTCAAAACCACTGATCTTTACTTGTTGAGACAAATTACTAAAATGAAAGTAGCAATTTCATAATATACATTTACTATGTTACTGGTAAGAACCCTGAATACAAAAGTATGTAGAAGTAAAAATGCATTATGAGTGAATTAGGTTAGTTTTTTTTTTCAAGATGGCTCTGTTTTAGATGTTTTATTAATATGTAGGCAATACTTTAAGAAGCCCACATTATTTGTACACATCGCCAGCCTTACTGTAGATGTCAAATAATTGTAGTGAATTGAAAAGT